GTATATAGTTGGAGTCAATTGTCTAGGCAGGTGGTAGGCTTGTTACCCATATGAACATCTGGGAGTATCTGAGCAGTAATGGTGAAATATCCAAATAAAATTTTAGGCCAAGATTGTATTTAAGTAGGACTACTCTTTGGAAGGTTGGTTAGTTTGTTTTAAATTGTTTATTGCATGGAGTGTTTCTATTTATTTCTCTCTCAGTGTACTTAGCTACTATATGATGCTATGCTATTTTTAAGGAACACTGTCTTAAAAAGGATTCTTTGTATTTAATTGGGACTCCAAGAAAGAGACACCATAATGAAACAAAAATCTCAGGATGACTGGAGAGGCTGGCTTACACTGGGGCCTGGACACCCACTGTGACCGCAGGGAAGATGAGAACAGATGCAAAGAATATAAATGCAGTAAAACAAACTGAATCCTCTTTTGATAGTGTCTCTTTTCTCAATGAAACAGCAACTGAGGTTATTGTACTAGTTACTTTTCTATTGCTTTGATAAAACACCAAGAGCAAGGCAACTTACAGAAGGGAGAGTTTATTTGATGCTTAGGGTCCAGAGGGAGAAGAGTCCATCACCATTATGGCGGGGAAGTGTGGCAGCAGGCAGGCATAGTGACTGGAGCAGGAAGCAGAGAGCTCACATGCAGAACCCCAAGCAGAAAGCACAAAGAGGAACTGAGGATGGTGAGAGGATTTTCAGTCTCTGAGGACCTGTGTGGGGTGCTGCGCTCACTCAAGAAACTGACTATAACCAACTGGAAAACTCCATTTTTTTTCCTTCCCAGATCTGCATCTAGCTTCACCATATGTCATACAAAGTAAAGATTTAAAATATAAGAGCACATTAATATTTTTTAGTCAAAGATCAACTGTAAATGTTCTTTAATTCAAAACAATGTGGCATAATACATGCAACATTAGTTTAAATGATCTTGATTTAATTCCCCATAGTTCTGATAATATTCTGCAGCTACAGTCTATTTTAACTTTCAAGATGCTGCCACTGGCTGGCCACATGATCAAGTAACCTCCAGTTTGCAGCAAGATACATGGACCACTGTACTAAATGAAATGGAATATTTTTTTTTTTTTTTTTCGTTTTTCGAGACAGGGTTTCTCTGTGTAGCTTTGCGCCTTTCCTGGGACTCGCTTGGTAGCCCAGGCTGGCCTCGAACTGACAGAGATCCACCTGGCTCTGCCTCCCGAGTGCTGGGATTAAAGGCGTGCGCCACCACCGCCCGGCCGAAATGGAATATTTTTAAAAAATTATTATTTTTACTGATTCTTTGTGAAATTTTATACCTATATACAATGTATTTGAGCAAATCCACCCCACTTCCCAACTTAATGTCTTCTGTCTTGTTCTGAAAAATACTCAGAGTCCAATTTGTGCTATCAATATATGTACAGGAGTGGAAACATCCACTGGAGTATGGTCTCTTCCTCCCCAAGCAGCCATCAACTGTCAATAACTCTTCATTTAGGAAGGGGAGGGCTCATGAGACTGTCCCCCTCCATGTTGGGATGTTGACCTCAACACTATTAAAACGAAAAAAAAAAGTGGTAAAAATAGCATATCCAAGCCCTAAGATGATGCCTGAATGAAACAAAACTAACAACCAGAAAACCAAGCAGAACATTGGAGCCAGCACTTCCTGTGCCATGGAGTACATTTACCACACTTCACACTTGGATGTGGTTTTGTTGTCACTCAGAGAAAGGGGTATAGTGGAGGCATCCTACAATTGACCTGGGGTTCCAGAGGTTTTCCTCTCAGGGAAAATGTGAGACACACCTGAATCCATGCCCCTGATACACTATGAGGCATGCTAAATAATCATGCAAGTAAAAAGGTACTTCCCATAAACTTATCAAAGTAAACTGGTAACATATAGGACAGGGGTGTGTTAAAATCATGTCAAAAAAATAGGACTGACAACTTATCAAAATACACCAGACCAACAACTGGTGCAATATTCTCACCTGTACTTCAAGAAAGGGACACTAACCATGGAGATGATGATGATGGCCTCAAGGCCTGACATTTCAGCACTAAGTGTTTGTGTGTGTGTGTGTGTGTCTGGTAGGATTCACAGGCAGAGAACTCCTGACTGTCTCTGGGGCTGGGGCTCTGTCCTACTGCTCAATGCAGCCCATTTGAATTTCTGTCCTATCTATTCCTGTTCACCCATCTATCCAGACCAGTCCTGCATCTCACCGTGAAGGTTCTCTGTCTATGCAGCTCTGCTTGACCCTGCAATCCTGGGGCTCTGTGTCTCCCACAGCTCTTCAAATGGTTTAGTTACTATCTTACTAATACCTGCTGTGGATCTCTTTGTATGTGTACCAGCTCTCTGACTCCAGCAAGGGCTTTGAGCTCTGTGGCCTCTTTAATCCTTTTGTAGTCATCTGTAATCTCTGTCTACACACACACACACACACACACACACACACACACACACACACACACACACACAGAGTGTGAGAAGTCTAATGTGTGATCTGAGAGTTAATATTAGTAGTGATGATTGGAATAAAGTAACCTGAGATTGTCAATGGTCAGCTACGAAAGGAAATGGGAATTATTTGATAAACTGAAGCCAATGAAACTAACATTGCTTGTGAACTTACTGTGAATAAATTCTGACATTGTGGAAAGACATAAATGTGTTTGTATTTCTGGCATAGCACACTCACAATATTCTCATTTTAAGACTTTAAAGATAATGTGTATGTCAATGATTCTCACCGTAATTTACAGCTTCTGTTGCAGTCCTTCCTCTAATGCTACATGTTTAAGAACAGGTAACAGCCTGACTTAAATGTCTACTGGGAAGCACATAGACAACATGGTCCAAAGAAACTTCAGTTATTTTCAACACTTTAAAGCTTAGTCCTGGGGTTGGGAAGATGGCTTAGTGGGTAGGTGCTTACCGTACAAGCATGAGGATCGGAATTTGGAACCCTGTACCATATTAAAGGACCTGTTGTGGCTGTGCATCTGTAGACCCAGAACAGTGGGGCAGACAGGAGGATTACTGGAGTTCCCTGGACAACTAGCTTAGCTGAAACAGCTCTAAGGTTCAATGATGAGACCTTGTCTCCAAAGTAAGGTAGAGAGTGACTGAGAAAGACACCAATGTCAGGTTTTGGCTTCCAGAGGCACACATGGGCATGTGTGCCCCAACCCAACATAAACATTTATATACCACCCTCACACCAAAACTAAACAACCCAGAGCCCCCAAACCAAATTAAACCAATCAACCAACAAACCAAACAAAATCCCACCTCATCCTACATCCTCCTCTTTGGGCTATTACAGGATGTGTCTCTTTACCTTTGCACTCACTCTACCCATATGGTCTGCTTTTAAAACACACTTTATTCTTTTTAGAACAATGGTAAGTTTTCTGCAGTCCATTTCATAGCATCTACTGAACTTTTAAGTGGACAGAAACTCAACAGTTTCATCTTGAAACTCTTGAGTATCCCAGGTCACTGGAACAATCTTAAGATATTTCTGAGGAAGCATCAGAAACCTTTCTTTAAAAATTATTTATTTACTGTATGTGCTCTTGTGCCATAGTGTGTTGGGTCAGAGGACAACTTTATGGTGTTAGGTCAAAAAGCAGGCTCCCCAAAATGGCAGTGCTACTGACAATGTCCTAAGATGATGGCCCAGGACCTAATCCAAGCCAAATTCTTACCAGGTAAACAGAAGCCTTCTTTATAGGGTAAACAGAAACCCAAACTCTGCATTCCTCAGGAATCCCATGAGGAAATGTGTTTCTAGTGGTCTAGTTCAGCGGTTTCACTGCAACTTGTTTACACCTGGTGTCAGTTCTCTCCTCCACCTTACGTGGATTCAGGGGGACTGGACTCAGGTTGCTGGGCTTGTGCACAAGCACCTTTACCCATGACACTCGTCCATGAAAATTGTCTTAAAGGGCTAGAGAGGAAACATTTCAGGCTTCATAGGCCAAATGAATTCTAAATGTCAAATGTGCTAAATATATATATGTTAAGAGTCTATACTTCTGTGTCCTCCCCAAGCCATTGTATTGTGTAGAATATTCACTAAATTAATAAAAACAAGGTATTTTATTTGATTTAGAATGCCAATTTTTTCCTTTCTCTTTTTGGTGTGTATTGGGAGGGAGGGGGGGAGCGTGTAATCATATATGCTTTTGTGTATGTGTTCATGCAGAGGTCAGAGGTCAACATCTGATGTCTTGCTCAATTACTTTGTATCTCTCAGTGAATCTGGAACTTACTGACTTGGCGAGGCTGGCTGGAGGGTCAAGCCCTAGGATGCCCTCTTCTTTTCAGTGCTGGTGCACACCACCATGCTTAGCTTTTGACTTGGGTGCTGGGATCTGAATTTGGGTCTTTATGATTGTGCAGCGAGCACTTTAGCCACTAAACTGTCTCACTGGTCCCATGCTTAATATTTTATAGTACTTCAGTAAATACTTTCTGAATAAAAATATAACATCCAGACTTACACTCCTCGTTGTGTAATATGTGCATGTATGTGTGTTTGTCTGTGTGTGCAGACAGAGGGCAACCATGGGTGTCATCTACTTATTTTTTTTTTTTTTTGAGACAGTCTCTCACTGAATAGGAACTAAGTAAAGAGGCAAGGATGGCTGGCCAGTGAGCCCAAGTGTCCAAGTATCTATCTGTCTCTCCATGGTATTACGAGCACATGCCACCATAACTAACTTTTTTTCTTTTAATGTGGGTTTTGGGGATCAAATTCAGGTCCCCATGCTTGCTAGTACTTTACTGAGAGAGCTATCATCCACTTCTCAGAATTACACATTAAAAAAAAAAAAATTCACAAAACCAAATAGAGCAGAACAGTCAACTACAGGTTTAAATTATTTCTTCTGTAAAACATCAATTGTTAAATAATTATTAATAGTAAACTTACTTTGTATTGCTGGTTTGCAAAACAAGTATCAGGCAACTGCAAACAGTGAACCTACTTGAGACTGCTGATCCTCATTTCTGCACTTTCGGTAAGTTTCTTTGTTTCTTCTTTCCACCTGTTGGCCGCCTTTTGCTGAGCTGCTAACAGATGCCTCAGTTCAACAACAGAATTCCGATTACTGTCCTCCATCTCTCTCAACTGAACTTCAAACCCGTGCTCCTTTATTGAGAACTGATGCTCCATTGTGCTGACCTAAGGAGTAAAAGGAGCCGTCACTTTCCTCTCAGGATTCTAGGAGCTGTGTCAGCCAATGTCACACACAAACACAGTAATCCACTGTGCTCATGAGATGTAGAACCCTTTGGGCAAGGCATCCAAGTAAGCAGTTAAGCTTACAATTTGTCTCTACTACAAATGAACTCTATGTATACTTTAGTGAAAAATACAACTACCATGGACTGTAATTTTGTGTGTGTGTGTGTGTGTGTGTGTGTGTGGTTTCTCTGTGTAGCGCTGGCTGTCCTGGAACTCACTCTGTAGACCAGGCTGGCCTCGAACTCAGAGATCCATCCAACTGCCTCTGCCTCTCACATACTGCGAATAAAGCTGTGTGTCCATATTTTATTTTTAAGTCTGTAAGATAGCACAAATTACTCTGTATATATGGTGTGATAAAATGTCATTTTATCTTTTAAATATGGATCTAATTGGACTAGTATTATAATTATAAAGATAATTCCTTTCCTCTTGAACCACAATGTGCTTCTGCTACAAAATTAGGTCTTCATTAAAATGAAATTTATATCTGGACTTTATTTTGTACTACTGATCAATATGATTATTCTAAAGTTGACAATATTGTCTTAATTACTGTAGCTTTATATTGATAGGGTTCTTTTTCATATTTTACTGAGTAAAAATATCTTTGTAAGACACATGACTATTTTTCATTTAAGATTTCATATTCTTATAAATGCCTACCGCCCTGGATACCTGCAATAGAAGACAGTCAGTAACTTCAGTTGACAGGAACTAGGTCAGCACATGACTTCCTTTGATTCCTTGCAGCAGCAATAAGCAAAGTGAAACAACAGTACTGCTACTTTACATCCTCGCTGTGAGCCTGGAAGATGAGGATCTTTACTATAAAAACCTAGTGTCATTCACAAAAATGGCATGGAATGGAGGGAAAAGAGATGCTGATGGAATACCTGTTTCTTGAAAGTGCCTTAAATGGATTATCACAGAGTAAAAAGAGAAAGGGGAGAGAAAAGAAAAGGTAAGGATTTTTCTCATATGAGCCTTTTGCCCTGTGCATTCTTCTTGCTGCTGTTTTTATACTTGCTAGAGGGGCTCTCAGAGAAAACTGATGGAACATCCTCTTACTGATCTTTAAGAAATTCAGTGTCTGAGAAGCTGGAGGAGAGAGTATGGCAGACTATAAAGCTGTGTAAGCTACAGTTCTGTTAGTGCTGTTTAACTTGCTTTGGTAGGAAGAACTGTTTGTTGTATGGTCGGAAAATGTTTTTAAAAATTGTGTATATATAGAGAAGACAATCAGGTTCCAGAACGCTTTCCAAGTTCTACTAGTTAGTACTCTGAATTAGGATTTCGTATTATTTGATGAGAGGTGCATGGGTGCCACACACACATGCATACACACACACACACACACACACACACACACACACACACACACACACACACACACACGACCTGAAGAATGTTTTATTAGGACTTTAATGAATATTCTCTATACTTTGATTTCCCCAAGAATACATTTAACTCATTTTTGAAAATACCTTTAATTTTGCTTTTTTTTGGGCCTCCAGAGCAATTTTTCTCAAATCCTCAGTTTCCTTCTGTAGTTGCTCATTTTCTTGCTGAAGTTTTAGCCTTTGCTCACTGACAAAGCCACAGTTCTCCCTCTCAGACTCCAGTACAGTTTGAAGTTTCTGGATCATTTCATGGGAACGTGATATCTCTTCCGAGGAACTGTTTGTTGTTTTTTTTAAACAAATGAAACAAAACACAAAAGATCAAGACGTGTACATTTTACAATTTAGATTTCTGTTTTCTTTATTCTGAGTCATTTCTTTTCACTTCAGCACGGTCTTGGAGATTGAGCCCACGGCTATATCCACAGCCCTCTTTTTATTTAGAGTAATGTGATTTCAAAATGTATGTAATACCAGGTAAATGCATTTAATTTAACAATTTTAAGTAAGGATAGACAAGTTGACCTGCTATTACTCTTTTAGAAAATCAATGTGAAATATCTTTCAATTTTTTCCCGGTGTTAAGAACAATGTGGACCCAATAGTAGACAGATGAAACAGCTGCTAGTCAAACTTTTACTTAATGTTAGTAGCATAGGAAAACACAACAGCTGACCACCTCACAAATTAAAGTGAAATCAATCTGCAATTTCCTGTTATACACCTTAGAACAGGGCTTTATAAATTCAAATTAAATAAGCTTATTTTAGCACAGGTTAATAGGTTGTTTTCTTGAAATTTCTCAGCCATGGATATTAAATCAGGTATTCTTTAAACATTTGTTTCAATCAATAGCTAATTTTCATTCCTATTTTCTGAAATTTACATCTTTCAATTACAGATAACCAATCACTCTGAACATAGTCTGGTTTCTATTTGTCACAGGAAATATATAAATGCTACTAATATTGTGATGACTTAACAGAAATATTGGTGGGCATGGTGGTTCATGCTTGTTATCCCAGCCCATGGAAACCTAAGGCAGGAGGATTACCTTGTGTTTGAAGCCAACCTGGGCTACATAGTAAGTTCCAAGCTAGCATATGCTATAGCATGAGACCTGGTCTTAAAATAAAAAGCTAAACAACCTTGGTCCCAACAATTCTGTTGGATAAAGCGCAGGGACGAATGGCTGGATGGGTGGAAACACATGAACTATGAACCAATGGCTGAGGGGTCCCCACTGGATCAGGCCCTCTGAATGGGTGAGACAGCTGATTGGCTTGATCTGTTTGGGAGGCATCCAGGCAGTGGGACCAGATCTTGTGCTCATTGCATGAGTTGGCTGTTTGAAACCTGGGGCCTATGCAGGATTGTTTGGCTCGGCCTGGGAGGAGGGGACTAGACCTACCTGGACTGAGTCTACCAGGTTGACCTCAGTCTGTGGGGAAGGCTTTACCCTGGAGGAGATGGGAATGGGGGGGGGTTGGGGGGAAGGTGAGGGGGACAGGAGGGGGGAGAACAAGGGAATCCGTGGCTGATATGTAGAGCTGAATTGTATTGCAAAATAAATTAAAAAAAAAAAAAAGCTAAACAACTCAATTATTGGCTAAAAGTAACTTATAAGGAGAGAAATTTTTAATATGCATAAACAATTTTTACTTGATGGCAGTTTTACTACCATGAACCACAGTTTATGGTTCTATTCCAACCCTAACGTCCCCAATGCTTATGATTGACTCTGAACTGATTCATCTCTGTCCTGTTTACAATTTTGCTTTCCTAATTCTTCCCACATTCTTTTAAGTTTTAAGTTCTATATGAAATCATTCATTTCTATAACATACAGTTTTAATTCTATATAAAAAATCGTTCATTCCTATAACACACATAGCTATGTTTTCTTTTTAAATAGTAAAGTTCCAATAATCAACTTTCCAATAAAATAATATACACAGGCATTGGTCATAAAAGGACATTAGTATCAAAAGATGCTGCAACAGAAGCAACCACATGTGTGCCTCCTAACAGAAGTTCATAATACCACAACCACCACCACCACCACATCCAACCATCACCAACCAACCACCCACCATCACCACCAACCAACCACCAACTACACATCAAAAAGAACATTCAACATGAAAGCATGATTCAACATGTTTTCTACAAATGTAATATATTACAGTTATAGATTCAAGAATGGAAATAATGTAGTCATCTTAATAGATGCAGAATGGCCTTCAACAAAGTTCAACTCCCTTGATAAGAAACCAGGAATTCAAGGATCATACCTCAACATAAGAAAAGCTACCCATGATAAAATAGCCAACATTATAGTAAATGGAAAAAGGCTTCATGCACTTCCTTGAAAATCAGGAATGAGACAGTGTCAGCTCTCTCCACTTTTATTCAAAGTAGTGACTGGAGTCTTAACAATAGCAGTAACACAAGAGAAAGTAATAAAAAGGATACAAGTAGAAGAGGAAGGAGCCAAGTTATTTCTATTTGCAGATGTATGATGTCATACAAAAGGGAACCTAACAATTCAACACAAAACCTCTTAGAAGTGACAAACACTTTCAACACAGCACCATGATACAAAAATCAATGCAAGAAACCAGTAACTATTTAATAGACCAATATATAACAAACACTGATAAAAACATAAGGGAAACAATCCCTTAAAAAAAACAAAAAACAAAACCTTAGTAATATAACTAATCAAAGATCTCTACAATGGAAAATGTAAAACTCTGAAGAAACTGAAGATACTAGAAGACAGAAAAAAAAAATTCTCAGGCTCATGGATCAACAGAATTAACATAGTAAAAATGACTGAATTACTTTAAAGTCACCTACATATTCAATGCAATCCCCATAAAAATTCTACTGGTATTCTTCACAGAATTGCGAAAAAAAAAATCCTAAAATTCATAGAAGCACAAAAGACGCTGAGCAATGCTAGAAGTATCACAGTATCTTATTCCAAGTTACATTACACAGTCACAAAAACAGAAACAGCATAGACACGTAGATGAAAAGAATAGAACAGAGAACAGAGAAATAAACCCGGTCACCTGATTCTTGATAAAGGTTTCAGAAATATACTTCAGAGGAAAAGAACCAAAACAAATGAAAACAAAAAAACCTCTTGGATAAGTGGTGCTGGGAGAATTGGACAGTCACATGTAGTAGAAGGAAACTAGTACTTTTCTCTCACTTTGTACAAAAATCAATCAAAAGTAAATTAAGAACTTTAATGTTTAAAATTGTTAGGGGAGAATATACAGAAAATACCTCAAGATATCAACATAGCAAGGATTATCTGGAAAATACAGTAATAGCTTAAGAAATAATACTAAGAATTGATCTAAGAGATTGCATGACCTACAAATGCTTCTGCAAAATAAACTATAAGTGAAATCCAGGCTTCATATTGCACAAAAACATGTGCTAACAATTTATCTAGAAGAGGATTAAATCTAGAATCTAGAATACATAAAAGAAACTGAAACTAAATTAAAAACACTAAATAACATAAAACTAATCATCTGATCAGTAAGGTGGGTAATGAACTAAGTAGATCTCAAAAGAAATATAAATGGTCAGCAAATATATGGACAAATATTCAACATCTTTAGAATCAGGGAAATGCAAACTAAAATCGCTTTGTGATTTCTATCTCACCCCAAGAAAATAAAACAAAAGCTGTCAAGGCTGTAAGGAAGGAAGAGCCCTTAGTCACTGATGGTAGGAATCTAAACTTATGCAACCATTATGGAAATCAGTATGGAAGTCTCCAAACTGGAAAAAAAAAAAAAAGAACAAATATAATCCAACTTGGAGATATATACATATATATGTACACACATACTCATATTCTAAATCAACATACCACAGAGATACTAGCACATTCTTTGCATCTCTATTCACAATAGCCAGGAAGGAAATGGAACAAGACTAGTTGTTTACCAACAGATGAATGGATAATGAAAATGTACATAAATACAGTGATGTTTCATTCAGCAATAAAGGAAAATGAAATTATGATATTTTCAAGAAAGTTGATGCAACTGGAAATCATTGTACCAAGCCAGGCAAGCTAGACCAAGAAATATATTTATTACTATGTGTATAAATGGGGTGTGTGCGTGTGTGTGTGTGTGTGTGTGTGTGTGTGTGTGTGTGTGTTTATGTGTGCATGCGAGAGATGCAATGGAATCCTGAGAGTGCTAGGAGGATATCTTAGGAGAGGGGGAAGACTATTTAGGGTGTGGCGAGGAAACCAACCATAGGGTAGGCAGGGGACATAGAAGAGGGCAGTGTGGGAGGGAAACAAATTACAAGATTATGATTCATGAGTATGAAAATGCTATCACTAAATGCATTATTTTGTATGCCAACTTAAAAACTAATAAAAAGAGAAATTATAAAAAACATATTTGCCTGGGTGGTGGTGGCACATGCCTTTAATCCCAGCACTCGGGAGGCAGAGGCAGGTGGATCTTTGTGAGTTCAAGGCCAGCCTGATCTACAGAGTGAGATCCAGGAAAGGCGCAAAGCTACACAGGGAAACCCTGTCTCGAAAAACCAAATAAATAAATAAATAAATAAATAAATAAATAAATAAATAAATAAATAAATAAATAAATAAATAAATAAATAAACAAACACATATTTGACTGTTTTAATAAGTTCTATAAAAAGGTAAGTAATTCACCAAAACCTATGTGAACGCTTAAAATGTTAACACAGAAAATGTAAAAGAAAACTTACTTAATTTCAAGTTGTTTTATTCTATTTTCTGCACTCTTTAGTTTTAGCTGAAGATCATCTTTTGAACGCTCTGCAGCAAGACATCTTTGGTGCATCTCTTCCAATTTTCTGTAATCACCTTCATCCTGTTTGCCTTCACGGTAAATCTGAGGGAGAGGCTTATAAACATTACCTTATAGGAAGAAATTATCTCAATAAATAAATAATGGGAGAAATAAAGTCATGACTGTGTATTCATCTCTTCCTACTGTAAGAAGTTTTTCAAAGACATCTATGATTGATTCATTTACAAAATAAAATGCTATAAACTGACAGCTAAAGAGTTTGAAATCATGCTCACTGTAAACTATTTAACTAATACAGAAATATAAAACAGCTGCTGAAACTTTTAAAAAATGCTTAAAATGCCAATTTAAAAACAAGTAGTAGTTGGGTTGGGTATGTAGCTCAATGGTAGAGCCTTTCCTAAGAATGTACAAGGCCCCAAGTTTCACCCTAAAACATCAAAGAAAGAAAAAAGTGCAGTAATTAGTGAATATTCTTCAATACAATTTTCTAATGAAATACCCAAAAGGAAGAGTATGTTTTAGTGTAACCAGAGATCTTAAAGTTCTAGAACTTTGCTCTGAGTTATCTGGGCAACAACATAGCTAAAATCAGAGTTACCTTTCTCAGGGGTAGTTGTGCTCAAGGTCAGCTAGAGTCTGGGCTTGCTCTTGTAGCACAGGGGCTAATTATAGCAGGCCCTGAGGTCCAGGTCACATTTTCAGACCATCTAACTGCCCTCCCAAGAAGGCTGCTTTGCTGGGTCACCTATGTTGTCCCCACTGGCAAGACAGTGCTGTCCTTTCTACAGAGGTTAAATAGCAGTATGTCAGTACTCTTTGCTGGGACATTGAGCACCACTGTAGTCCTACAGTGCTATGGCTTTGGTTCATTGCTGTGTGGACAATAGAGAACTGGTTACTGTGCCTTCTAAGTTTTCCATTGCACTAATATAACCTATGCCATGTAATATTAAAAAAATCAGCCTGAAGCCTGATATATGTCTGGCAACATTCTAAATAGAGCTTACATTACATGAAGGAAATCTGGCAGGATCTACCTTTAAGAGGGTGGCAGCCAAAAGTGTTTACCTTGGAACACATGCATATGCTTTTTTTGCCCCAAATGAAGCCACATTCTAGGGTCTGCTTTGTAAATACTGTTTTACTACCTGATTTTGTCATTATTTTTGACAACATGGATATATCACATACTTTGAATGCCATGGAGTTTGCCTTTCAAAGTTAAATCCTGACTTCAATGCTTAGTGTTTTTTAACACTGTGTGAGTTATTTAGCTTTTCTAGGCAAGTTACTATCATAGCACCTTAAATGTGGTAAGTGCTCATATTTGGTGGTCCTTTCTTTCTCAAGGCACTTAAGAACAGTGGGATATTCACTGCTAATGAAAAAGCATGCAACTATTTTTCTAAAATGTAGTTTTTACTTCAAACATCATTGGGGGAAGTATTTTATTTACTTTTATATTCTTTAAAAATATTTTATCTTTGTGGATTTCTGGGGCCCTCTCAAGTACTTTGCTTCCTCCTATTCCCGTGGGGTCTTCATTTATCATAGTCTCTCTTTTCTTGTTCTCCCTCCCTGTTCTTGATCCAGCTGGGATCTCCCGCTCCCCTAAGCTCTCTTTCCCCCAACCCTTGCCCTTCATTACCCACCCTCACGTCCAGTTTGCTCATGTAGATCTCATCCATTTCTCTGTCATTGGGCGATCCCTGTCTTTCTTAGGGTCCTCTTTACTAGGTAGCCTCCCTGGAATTGTGAGTTGCAGTCTGCTTATCCTTTGCTTTACATCTAGTATCCACTTATGAGTGAGTACATACCATGTTTGTCTTTCTGAGTCTGGGTTACCTCACTCAGGATGATTTTTTCTAGATCCATCCATTTGCCTGCAAACCTCATGATGTCATCATTTTTCTCTGCTGAGTAGTACTCCACTGTGTATATGTACCCCATTTTATTTATCCATTCTTCAGTTGAAGGGCATCTAGGTTGTTTCCAGGTTCTGGCTATTACAAACAATGCTGCTATGAACATAGCTGAGCAAGTGCTCTTGTGGTGTGGTTGAGCATTCCTTGGGTATATGCCCAAGAGTGGTACAGCTGGGTCTTGGGGGAGACTGATTCCCAATTTTCTAAGAAAGCGCCATATTGATTTCCAAAGTGGCTATACAAAGATATCTCCACAATAGACTACTGGCAATAATCAAGAGAAAGCCGAACTGACCTACTCTGGTGATCGGATGGCCAAACACCCTAATTGTGCTAGAACTCTCATCCAGTGACTGATGGAAGCGGATGCAGAGATCCACAGCCAGGCCCCAGGTGGAGCCCTGGGAGTCCAATTGGTGAGAAAGAGGAGGGATTGTACGAGCAAGAGTTGTTGAGATCATGATTGGAAAAAGCACAGGGACAAATAGCCAAACTTAGTGGAAACACATGAACTATGAACCAATAGCTGAGGAGCCCCCAAGTGGATCAGGCCCTCTGGATAAGTGAGACAGTTGATTAGCTTGAAGTGTTCGGGAGGCCCCCAGGCAGTGGGACGGGGACCTGTCCTTGGTGCATGAGCTGGCTTTTTGGAGCCTGGGGCCTATGCTGGGACACTCTGCTCAGCTGGGTGAAGGGAGGAGGGGACTAGACCTGCCTTGACTGAATCTACTAGGCTGAGCTGAGTCCCCAGGGGAGTCCTTGCCCTGGAGGAGATTGGAATGAGGGGTGGATTAGGGGGAGGACGGGAGGAGGGGGAAGGGTGGGAGGAGGGAGGACAGGGGAATCCATGGCAGATATGTAAAATTAAATTATAAAATTAAAAATAATAATAAAAAATATTTTATCTTATGTGTATGAATGTTTTGCCTGCATGTAGGGCTGTATATCTTGTTGAGTGCCTAGTGCCCACAGAGGTCAGATCAGGGCACTGGATACCCTGGAACTGGAGTTACAGAAGGTTGTGAGCTTCCACATGGGTGCTAGGAATTGAACCCAGGTTTCTGGAAGAGCAACCAGTGCCCTTAACTGCTTATCTCTCTAGCCCCCTAATTACTATATTTTTAAAAGGTAAAAATCTGGGGCAGAGAACTAACTCAGTCAGTAAACTGGTTGTGGTATCAACACTTACATCAAAGCTGGCTGTGGAGGCATGTGTCTATAATCCTAGCCCTAGGGTGGCAGAAATTCATGTTACTTTTGGGGTTGCTGGCCAACTATCTAGCTGAGTTCATAAGCTGCAGTTTCAGTGAGACTCTATCTCAAAAAATAAGGTGGAGAAAGATTGAGGAAGACATCAATGTCAACCTTTGGCCTCTATACACACATGTACATCTGCATACACACACATACACACACATACATACACAAAGGTAAAATTCATAGCAATCCTATGATATTTTGGTTGTATATACCTATTATACCTTATTCTAACCTCAGTAAGTTGGCATAAAGTTAACAAAAAAAGACAAAATGAAAACTACTTTTGGGATAAGGCTAGAGCAATAAATATGGATATTTAAGAAAGTTATACCTTGAAGTACAAAGTTCAAAGGATATGGGTATTCTTAGAAAGAAATGGATGTAGATGATAGGAATATTTAAATGAGACTTTAGTTACATTTGAGTAATACTGCCCAGAGTACTTAGAAGGCAAGTGTGAGCAGAGCAGGCAGCAATGTAGAAGCCTGCAGCTGCCTTAAGGCAGCTGTACTTCCTTCTTACCTTCTCGAGTTCTTCTTCCACAGCTCTTTTCCCTCTGATGGCTCGATCGATTTGACCTTGCTTTTCATCACAGTCCTATAAAATCAAGTCAAAATGCAAATAAACGTATCTGGTGAAACATTAAGGTGAGAAAAAAATGGAAAAATAAAATGGTTTGTTCATAACAAGAGTATTACAGTTACCTCATCAACTAAGTAAGTACACAGTACTTACAACTAAGTTAGGCTAATTACTGGGCATAGTAATTGTCAACCTTCAAAAAGTGACCTATCTCAGGATTTCATTAGTTGCCTTTGGCTTTAAGATATCAAGAAATTAACAGAATAAGTAAGAGGCAGAGGCTGGCATACGCATGTGAGAAAAAAAATGAGCTTTTTTGGGGGATATTACAGGTTCTCTTTTCATATAATACCAAATTATCTTGAAAAAGGAACCGGACAGTGTCACCGTATGCCAAGGAAAACATTTGGTATACAAAGTGCAGATTTCTAATAATTTTTCTTTACAAAATATCCAAAATCCAGGGAAATCTATTAGCATGAGCATAAAACATTGAAACATATATAATTAAAAGACTTTGTGTAACAAACATTTTACTTAGTAATTTAACAAGTATATCAACTAATCCATACAATTATTTTGCCAAGATGCTAAAAGCACAAGAATCAACCAGTGAGTTCTTCATAATTATTTTTCTACTTATTTGAGATTAAGCATAGTTTTATTGTGAACCTGCTTTGTTGACTGTACACCACTAGTGATATACATCTTTTCATAATTATACAAACATCCTCAGTGTTTCCAAAATCTAAAGCCAAGCTTTTAAACTGTGACCCAGAATTGATTGATTACCTTGAACTCTGTTACAAATAATAAGGTAGGATTTTTTTTTTGTTAAAATAGGACTCAGTTTGTAGGAAAATAATTTTTAATGTCCTATATATATTCATATATATGATAAGGTACTTATCTATAAAAGGTTTTGTTTTTCTGGGGGAATATTTTTCATAGTCTCACTACATGGCCCAGGCTGCCCTCAAACTTGAATTCAAGATCCTCCTGTCTCTCTGTCTGCTGAGTGGTAGTTTTATGATGCTAACCTGGTGACTTGTGCTATGTTTATAATGCCACTGATGTAACTGGAATACATATGTGTGCTAGTTAGTCTTTGTCAACTTGACAAGACTAGAGTCACGACTCTCAACTAAGAAACGGCCTCAGCAGACTGGCCTGTGGGCTTGTCTATGGGAGCATTTTCTTGATTAAAGAACCGCAAATTGTGGGTGGTGCCACCCTGGGGCACATGGTCCTAGGTTGAAAGTAGGCGGAGCAAGTCATAAAGAGCCAGTAAGCAGTGTTTCTCCATGGTCTCTGCTTTATTTCCTTCCCTGGATTACGGACTATAACCTACAAGCTAAGCTAAACCCCTTTCTTCTCAAGTAGTTTTTGTCAGCAATTTACCCCAGCAACAGAAAGTAAACTAGGACAATATGTTAATAACACAGATACATCTTATCTGATACATGATCTGGAAAGTGGCCTATGAAGAAAAGAATAACTATGCATACATCTATGTCCCTGACATCAAGGGATATGGGTCTGACAGTTGGTTAACCTGGGTTAAAAATGGGTAAATGAAACAAAAAAGTTGAAATATTTATAATTACCATACTATTATATTAGTTCTATTAAAATGCACTATAATATTAAAATGAACTTTTAAAGTTTTTATTAAAAGCTTTGCTCATAACCCCTGATATACCTGCTTTGGGATATAAATTAATTTTTCTAGCATTTGTGAAGTATTTCTAAAATCATACTTTATAAAGGGTTAGCAAATATTAAAACTGATAGCACAGAGGCCACACTCACCAGCTCCTATTCAAATAAAATAGAGATCATTAAAAAAAGAGACAGCCTAAACCTCCTCATTTGGAGACTCAAAAACAGCTACACATTTCTTAGAACTACCTGTCTTTGCTGTATTCTACAGGCTCTCACAAGATGGACTTTTATATTCATTTGATTCTAGAAAGCTTTAAACTTCTATGGACTTCTTCAATGGTGTACTTCTTACATATCTGCAGTTTTCTTTGTAATTTCCCTTGCTACTCATTTCTAGTTTTATTATCCCATAACTTGATAAGTATTAAGAATTACTTCAATTATTCTGTATTTTTTAAGAGTTGCTTTATGGACTAAACTGCGATCTATTTTAGAGAAAACTCCATTGGCTACTGAGAAAATTGTGTGTTCTATAGAATTGTATTGCCTAATTCACAGTGTAGTTCAACACTGAAGTTTCTTTACTGAATTTTAGTCTGGAAGACAACACTGATATGAAATAAGTCCTCCATTATCATTCTATCAGGACCAAACTGTACATTTAATGTCAGTCTATGAAACTGGATGTCATGTTTCTTATATTATTGATAATTTCTTCCCTTTATTAATATGAAGTGGCCTTCTTTATCCCTTCTATGTAATTTTTGCTTGAAGGCTATTTAGGTCAGATTTGGTTAAGGTACATCCTGCTTATTTTCTGATTCCACTCACTGGGTACATCAATTACCATTCGTTCACTTTCGGTTTGCCTTTGCCAGTAAGGTGATTTTCTTACATTTACAGCTAGTCTGTATCTTTTAATTGGAGAACTAGAACTATTTGCATTTAGGGTCACCAGTGATTCTTGTGATTTTGCCAATTGTTTTCTAATTGGTTTGACCATTACTACTTTCTTTGTCCTGATTCACATGATGATCTTTGGTGGTTTCCTGAGTTGGACATGGCTAATTCTTTCCTACTTCTTATTTGTTTATTCCTCTTATTGAATTCACTCTTTGCTGTGTTCTCCTGAGTTAGATCTTTCCTCCTCTGTGTACAGGTCTCCTTTTAGCATCTTCTGCAATACTGTCTTGGTGGTCATGAACTGCTTTAGTCTGTTCTTGTCATGAAAGGTCTTTATTTCTCCATCAATTTTAAAATGTACATTTGCTAGATACAGTAAAGCTGGCTGGCAGTTACTCACTTTCATAATCTTATCTGAAATACATTGTTTAATGCTTTCCTGACTTCCAGTACTCCTGATAAAAAGTCTTTTCATTCAGGATATCAATTCTACATACCCAGAATAATCTTCAACTTCTGGTCCTCCTGCCTCACCTTCAGAGTGCTGGGTTTACAAGTGTGTACTAACACACAGTTTATGTGGTGCTCAGGGCTTCCCACATAGTAGACATACATTCTACCAATTAGGCTACACTACTAGCCTCTAAGAGGGTATTTCTAATCCACTCTAGAAATCTTCCTATTTTTAAAAAATAGCTTTAATATTTAAATTACTTTTTAACCAGACAGCACAATTTTTCCATAGAATAAATGTAATATTAGATAATGTTACATATCTTTTAAAAAAATCATTCAGGTATAGAAGTGTTTGATATATAGTATAAAACAGTTGTTATATAATGAAATTGCCAAAATAGAAGATAGTGAGTTTTATAAAGAGTTGGTTGTTATACCATTGTTTTAAGGATCCCTAGTCTTAGACAGTCCTCATTCTTTTTGGAAAACAGAACAGTAAGATTTGTTTTTATACCATTTACAACTGATTAAAGTTATCTTTGACGGTGGCAAAGAGACATTTTTCTTTCCTTTCACAAAGATGCAAGTTTTTTTTATAATCTATGAAAAAGAACAAGCAAAATAAGACAATTTTATATGACCAATAGGTCATACTGCATCCCATTGGTTTTACAAACTGTTTCTACATCATTACTACAAGTGAAACTAAGTAAGAAGAAAGTAATCATTCCTGGTTTTTACATCCAGGACCTCTATAAAATGATTAAAGTATAGTAAAGTACACTACATGGTTTGTAGCTTTCTGGAGGTATTTAAATATTACTCTGCTGATGATTATTTACTTTAAAATACACTGTGCAAAAACAGTGCTAGGCAATAGGGAAAACTAAGGACAAAAGAAGACTCTTACTTTGGGGTGTTGCAATCTATTAGGAGATCTCCTGGAAAGAGCATGGTTGCACAAATGGTTATGTGTTGACCATACATTAATGCACATTATTTATGAGAATACACAAAATATTGATAAATTTTATAACAGATTAAAAGTGATGGAAGGATTCAGAAAAGATGTGTGTTTGTGAAGTTATAAGTATCTTTCTAATTCCTAGAAATTCTAGTGTTTGGATCTTTTGGGAACAGTCATTACATTCTATTTCATTAAATCTTAAAGTTAAATTTAAATTTCTAATCTCTAGTCACACGAAAACACTTTTCCTCACCACCCCCCTTTGCCTACTCATCCTTATTTATCTATTTGAGGAAGCTTTACTGTCTTTCTTCTTTCCTACTGACATACATAGCTTTTCTTCCTTCCTGGTCTTCCAGATCAACCCAGCATATGGCAGGACCTGCAGCTGGTTGGTTTAGTGGCCCTGTGTTCTGTCAACGACAAATGAAATGTGATGAATGCCACCTGTCCTACTCACCTACCACAAGCCAAAGGCAGCATAAAACACTGCTGTGGATTGTTACTTTCTTTACTAGTGCCTAGCATAGGTCATGCTTAACAAATGTATAAGGAACAAACGAATTCCCAATATCATACATACTGGTCGTTAAAGCAAGTAAAATTTGGAGGAAAATACGAACAAGGTTTTCTAACATACCATCTGAAGGGCTGAAATTTCTTCCCTTAATTGTGAAATAAGTACTTCATACTGTTTTTTTGTGCTTTCAACCTGTGAATGAAGACATGATTCAGGGAAAGAATAAAAAATGATTACTGTTAAAAATTTAGCATGATTGAATTTTGTTTAAAAAAGAAACAACTTTTATGCTATAAAAGATAAATAAGATATAATGTATGAGCTGTGTGTAGTGAGCATGCACACAGGTGGCTGGGGCACGGAGATTTTGTTCATTCTGTCTGGACTATATAATGAGTTCAAAGCTATCCTAAGTTATACAACAAATCATATAGAACAGAGGACTGCACATGTAGCACTGGTTTAGTATACAAAAGGCTCCAGAATCTTCAGCATTGTAAAATAAAGAATGGTCATGAGAACTGAGGATAGTACTGGATGATATATCCAAAAGTAAAGCATTTGGTCTCAGGACACTTTTACACTGTAAAAACGAAGCTTTTGTTTATAATGGATTCTTTTGACTAGCATTTTACCATTATTAGAAATAAAAGCAGGAAACTATAAAAGTTTTATTATTATGTCCCCCAAATAATTTAATCATTACCTTAGATAGAATAAGTAATTTTAATGAAAATAAATATATTCTCCCAATCTAAAATTTTTGAGGACAGTCCATTTTCAATTTTTGTATACTTCTTGAATGTCTGGCTGGACAGGAGACAGTTAGGCTCAAAGGTGCTGGTGCACTCCACCTGCTGTGCTGGTGCGAGGCACACAACCTCCACAAGTAGCACTTTGCACCCGTGAAAGAATGAGTGTGAAAAGCAATGTCTGCAGACTCCTTGAATGCTGCCAAATGTCAGAGAACAAGGAGGAGAAAAGCAGAGTCATACACCGACATGTAATTAGTAATCTTTAAAGCATTGCTGTTCTCTCCATAGGATCTTTTCACAATGTACACTAGACACTAGTGCTAAGTAAGTGAGTGTTCAAGGAAGGCTTTGAACAAACACTGAGATTCATTTTGAAGAATTCGTTATACTTCATCAGGATGTTTGCGACAACCATTTTTCCTAAGAGCTTCTCAGGGTTTTCTTTATAGGACTAAGAGGATTACTGATGACAATATAGACCAAAGGGAAAACTTCTATGATCTAAAAGCCTTTGGAAACTTTTTTGTATAAAATGACTTATTAATGATACAGCACAAACTTTCCTTAGAATACTTTCAGTATTGCCTGCTATGTACTTTGTTTGGTTAATTAATATGAGTTACCTTTTTGTAGGCCTGCCAAACAGTGTATGCAGCTCAAATTCAGGCTTTACTTGTGCTATAATTTATGTTAGACAAACCAGGGATTAGGACATTAAAGATGAATCTATTTTGTTTACAGGGCAGTAATAATATGAGCACAGCATTTGTTGAGGATCGCGTGCAGTGCGTACTGTTCAGAATGCTTTATGTGTATCATACCATTGTTCTTACAACAGCCCCATGAGTTAGTACCTCCATTACAGATGAGGAAATTAAGTGCTATAGTTTCAAGTTAGTAAAGGCTTGGTGCCCAGCAAGGCCCTACTGGGAGATGGTAGAACCTGTAAAAAGTAGGGTCTACTGATCTTCAGCCCATTTGAGGCATGCATTTGAAGGGGACACTGGACCTGTTATTGCCTAGCTATGTGATAAGTGGTTTGGCTCCACCATGTGTTCCTGTCATGATATGCTGTTTTGTCGAAAGCCTGACAATGGGACCCAGCTAATCACAGACCACAGCCACTGAAACTGTGAGCCAAAATAATCTTTTCTTGTTATAAGTTAATTCTCTCATATTTTTGTTATAGCAATGGAAAGCTGACTTACACAGCAACAGACAGAGAAATTAAGCTATGAATGTTTCATGTAGCATAAAGATTTGAGCTCTTAAAAGTATAGTTTATTTGTCTCCCTATATAATTTCTAAACTGTGTTCTTTTCAGTGTCTAATACTGATACAACTAACTTGAAGCTTTACGACAATAGTAAGAATATATTTTTAATTATTTTGTAATGCTGCCAAACTCAGCTGAATCAAAGTACACTTTCTGAAAAGAATCTTCTGAGGTAGTAACACTTGTTATATTATCAGTGAGCTAAGACCTAAGGTTCACAGAGAATTTTTAGCAGTAGGATCTGATGAAACAAAATATGAGACTGAGGAAGTTTACAATAGGTAGGACTCTGAAATTTATATAGAGACTAAAATCTCTCTTATCCTATCCCTCTGTATTTCCCTTCCTCCTTCCTCCCTTCTCTCTTTCTAATTTCTTGCCATGTAGCCCAGACTGGTCTTGAACATACAAACCTGTGTGTCAGCCACCCAAGTGCTAGGATTATATGCTGTGTCACTACACCCAGTTGTTTTTATACAAACATATAAACATACTCTTTACATAAACATCTTTTATAATTTTATGAATAATAAAGATAGTTGTAAATGAAATACCAACTGACTAGAAACTAATTTTCTACTTAATAAATAGACAAGGCTAATAATGGTCATATACTAATAATAATGGCCAACATTTTATTTAAAAATTTTTTTTCATTAAAAATATTAAAGTATCTGAGAGATAAGCCATTTTTGTTCTTTTTTTTTTTTTTTTTTTTTTTTTTTTGGTTTTTCGAGACAGGGTTTCTCTGTGTAGCTTTGCGCCTTTCCTGGATCTCGCACTGTAGACCAGGCTGGCCTCGAACTCACAGAGATCCGCCTGCCTCTGCCTCCCGAGTGCTGGGATTAAAGGCGTGCGCCACCACCGCCCGGCGCCATTTTTGTTGTTAAAAAGCAAACTCTGACACATTTTTGTTCAATTTTATAACTAGAACAGAAAATGTGAAATATGCTCATTATATCTACTATAGTCAATAAAATACTTAGAGCAATTTTCAACTGCAATAAATAGGGAAATGATTGATAACATGGACATTTTCAAGGAAAATACTTTCAGCTATAGCTGAATAATCAGAAATAAATATACATTAACATTTACAGTGCTTACTGTATAAGAAATAGAATATGATTAAGTACAAGCTTTATTTATCAAAATATTAACTATTCTCTGAAACAACAAACACTACAGGAATATAAAGATGTAGATAATAAAGGCTTTCATGATTCTAATATTTACTTGGTGATGCACATGCATTTTTGTTTCAGATATACCATAATTATTCAATGAAAACCCAAATAAAAGGCTATTAAATAATGTAATTTCAATTTTCTTTTGCTGCTATTATTTCATTTCTCCTCACCATTTAAAAATTCAGTAATTTTTAAAGTTTAGATATAAAAATTGGCAACAGTGAGGAACCTACAGAAGGCAGAGAACAAATGAAATGCTTGGCACATGGGAAGTGTTAAGTAGATACTCCTTGAGTGAATCCCTGGCATAGCAGGGGAAGGCTGGCTTTAAGAAAGCCAACAGCAACATGCCTGAAGGAAAGGTCTGGGAGTAAGAGAGTATGTTCAGTTAAGACATGACAGACTCAGATATACACTTGGGCTGCTTACAGATGGGGAGGTAACTAGGGTTAGGGCACAGACACAAGAGTCTCAGATGTCCACTTGGGCTGCTTACAAACAGGAAGATACCTAGAGTTTAAGAGGCAGGTACTACAGTTTATAAAGGTGTTTAGAATAAATATTGAGACCACAATACTTTTAAAAAATGCACTGAATTTATAGGTTATCATAAATGAAACTGCAATCAGCCTTAAATATCAATGTATTTTAATTGATCTTAAAAATGCAACTAGAATGGTAAAATAGGATAAAATACTTAGATAAAATATTGTTACAAAGGTCCTGAAGACAACCCATATTTATTATTAGCCACTTTTTAATGTCTAATAGTATTGTTAAGAGTATTGAAAGATGTGGTCTAAAGTTAGAACATTCTCAAGCTAACATAAAAGGAATGTCAAGAGTATTGAAAGATATGGTCTAAAGTTAGAACATTCTCAAGCTAACATATAGGGAAAGTTCTTGCAGGAAGGATTAGAATAAAAGGCTTTAGTCTGACTCTGTCTTAAATCTGAATTTTTACATTGGGAAATTATCTAATTTCAATTCATAATAAAGTGCAGTCACACATCATGTAACAACAGGATTTGCTCTGAAACATTATTAGGTAATGTGGTTACTGTGAATATCAAGAGTGTATTGTATGTGCATAAACCTAGGAGGTTCAGGGTTCACAGGCTATGAAACTATACAGCATGGTAATGTATAGAGTAAGGTACACACTGTGGTATTTGTCTACTACCCAAATGGATTTTAGCCTGAAAGGGTACTGTAAAAATACCAGGCAACAGGTGTTGCAGCTCTATTATAATTTCATAAGATCACTGTCATCATATATAGCTTGTCCTCAACCAAAATGACCTTACATGGCATGACTAAAGAATATTTCTAGGGGCTAGAGAGATGGCTTGGAGGTTAAGAGCACTGGCTGCTCTTTCAGAGGTCACGAGTTCAATTTCCCAGCAACCACATGGTGGCTCACAACCATCCATAATGAGATCTGCTGCCCTCTTCTGACCTGCAGGTGTATATGCAGACAGAACACTGTATACATAATAAATAAATAAATAAATAAATAAATAAATAAATAAATAAATAAATCTTGAAAAAAAAAGAATATTTCTAAGGGATGTATTTGCATGGAAAATGAAAACTACCATTTAGTTGTTATAAAGAAAGCAAATATGTTAACTTTATGTTTTTAAATTATAAAAAATATACTTGAAATTGTAGTCCACTGAGGAGAAAAATATTGAGCACAGAAAATATAGGGAAGAAAACACCCACTTGAAGTCAGACTGTAGTACATTACACTATACCCCAGTTCAATTTAAAGGAAACGAACACCAGTTTTTAGCCACTTATGCTAATAGTTTCACAGAGTCTTTGAGAGTAAGCACACAAGGTTTTAATTTTAAAGTATTTAAGCAGCATTTAGTCTTAGTTAGGGCTTAAAGTCTGTATTTGAAGTATAATTTAAAATTCCTCACTTCTTTCCTTGCTTTTAGGGCAGCATCTTGTATAAGCTGGGAAATTGTTTTCTTCATTTTCTCTCTGTCATCTTCTTTTTGCTTCTCTTCAAGCAGAATCTTCAGAAGACAATCAAGGCACGTTAAACATCACATTTCACTGGTAAGATAACACTCTTTGACAGCACAGTATCATTCTTGACTTCTAGAATGCTTCCACTGGAAGATCTTGCGTAAGTCATGAATAATAAAGGATCTCCCCAGCATTGCCTACCTTTTCCCAATTAAATCTTTAGTATTTATTTCAGCCAGAGTTTCCCAACATTTTTCTCATTTCCACAACTGAAAGTCTCAGGGTCATTCTGAACTTTTATTCTTCTTATACATAAATAAAATAAATAAATCTTTAAAAAAAGAGGAAGAGAATCCTAGATTTTGAACCAGCAACCACAAGATGGAAACCCTCTAGCAGTTAAGCAATGAGTCAAAAGAGAAATTAATACAATAGCCATAGGCTGCTTCTGAAAGCTTTGTTGATTCAGGACTGAAGTGAGACAGGCAATGGTGCCATCTCCTCTCCATTACACACCACACAACATCAGATAATTTTTTACACAACTATGTTTCAGAGGGTAAAGACAAATGACTTTGTCCTGTTCTTAAATTTTCTAGCTAACTTGGGTATTTAGAACAGTTTACAAGCCTAATATATCTATTGTGGGTAGTATTCTACTTTTGGTGGTACTAAGGATAAAATCAAGGGCCTCACATGTGGTAGAAAAATATTCTGCCACTGAGCTGTATCCCAAGACCTACTGCATACATTTTAATGATTTCAAGAGTGGAGAAACAGAATTTAAGCCACAGATGGGAACACTAGCTGAAAGGTATAAGCGCTTTAGCATTTCTGCAGTTTAGATTTGAAGAGATAATTCCTTGTTTTCTCTCTCTCCTTCCCCCTCCCCCTGTGACAGGGTCTTACTATGCAGGACCCACCGGCCTTAAGTTTATCCAACAGCTCCACCTCCCGAGGGCTGGGATTACAGATTGCAGGCATGTGTCACCTCATTCAGCTTCCTTTTTACTAGGTTTATAATATCCAATTTATACTTTTTGCATTTTTTAGTGTCTCTCTTGAAAAATTTACCACTTCAAGAAAGAAACCTAAATTAATGCACTTCCTTTAACCCTGTGCACTTCCTATTGGAGTACTGTGCACATATTACACAGTTCATAAATGCTGGTATATACATTAATGCTATAATGAGTTCTACAAAAAAGGGGAGTAACATTTTAAAAAAAAATATCTACTTTCTGTCTTTTATAGACTATACTCATTTATAGGGAAACAGTACAAGACAGAAAGCATGGTCCAGAATAGTACAGAAATTAAAATGGTTAAGGGGTTGAAAAAAAAAAGCATCAGTTGAAGAATCCATCTAATCTCTTGAGCTACATTTAACTTTGTAAATTAGGCTTCTGCTTGATGAGGGAACTGTACAGGTAAAAAGGAAATCAATATGACCAAGAGGTATCTGATTAAGTACACTCTGGTAAAGGACTATGACAGTACAGAGGATGAAGGATAGTGACTCAGGATATAGGGACATAACAAGTCTGATATTTAAATACTATTTTGAAAAATGACTAACATGTTAGCATATTTTATGACACTACTCTTACCATCTAAAATATAGTATAATTACTTGATAATGGGAAGTGTAGTACTTTGTTTCCATGCATTAATTCGGAAGCTGATGGTCCCTTTAGTGTTAGGGCATGTGAGGATCTTATTCTTTATAAACAAGTTTGCACGTTTTCTTACCTGACTCTTTTTAAGGTTAGCTTCTTCTAAGAGTTGCATGCTATCTCTGGCTCTTGAAATAGCCTCATATTTCTCATTTTCTGATTCACTGCACTTTGCTTGTAGCTCTTTGATTTGCTTTTCCAAATGTGTTTTACCTGTTCTTAGTACGTTGGCTTCTTGAATTGCTATACATAATCTACAAATTAATAACCATATTATGAAAGTTAAATATTTTAAAGAGAAGAAATGACATATGAGGTTTACTAAACATCACCATAGGATTGTATTACGATTGTTATTTTTACATGTGTTTCTCATTTAAATCTTGCTCTATAGATGTAGATTTTACTATCTCCATTTTAAAGAAAACCATACCCAGAGAGCTTCAGCTTTTTTTTTTTTTTTTGTTTTTTGTTTTTTCGAGACAGGGTTTCTCTGTGTAGCTTTGCGCCTGTCCTGGAACTCACTTGGTAGCCCAGGCTGGCCTTGAACTCACGGAGATCCGCCTGGCTCTGCCTCCCGAGTGCTGGGATTAAAGGCGTGCGCCACCACCGCCCGGCTGAGCTTCAGCTTTTGATTAAGACTAAAAAGAGCAGCAGATCTGAGACTGAAGCAAGATATTTTGATTCTAATTGTGTGATGATGTCTATGGTTTTTTGGTGTCTTTTTAATTTTGTGAAAATTTCATAGATGGATACAATGTATCTTAGTCATATGGATCCCCTATTGCCTCTCTCCAGCTCCATCTCTCCTCCTTCAACATGTTCTCCATCTACCTCCTAATTTCATGTCTATTTTTTTCTCCCACTAAGTCCAATTTGTGCTACCCATATGGAAATGTGTGTGAGATCATTTACTGGAATGTGGTAAGTCTACCAATGGCCACCCCCAAAAAAAGAAAAGTTAATCTCCCTCTCTTAGCAGCCATCAAATGCCATTAGCTCCCCAGCTAGGGATGAGGCACTAAGAGCCCCTCCCTGTTCTTTGCTAGATTTTTAAACTGGCTTGATCCTGTGTAGGTCTTATGCAGGCAACCACAGCAACTATGAGTTCTTGTCGTATCCAGAAGCCAATCTTTTATGGTACATCTCCTTATCCTCTGGCACTTACAGTCTTTCTGTCTCATTTTCTGTGATGTTCTCCGAGCCTGGGAGTAGGGGTGGAGTAGGGATGTTTATATACTTGTTCTACCTACTCTTGAGCACTCTAAGAAGAACTACTTATTCTCAGAGCTTTGAAGAGTTATGAGTCTGTGCATAACCACTCCCTTCTGTAGTAATAAGCTTCTCTGACCAAGGTTGAGAGCAGCACAAACTTGTTGGTATATTCAGAGTTCTAGACAATTTCTATGCAAAACAGATTACAATCATGTATTCGACTTTCAGCCATAAATACAATGTCAATTTATAGGCTGTGTATTTAATCTTTCATAGGATACTAATGACAATTTTCAAACCCTCAATGGAACATTACAGATCTAGATAGAACAACAAAAACAAAATATTCTAGTATGTTTGTAGTAAAACAGCAATTTAAGACAGAGCTACAGAATATATTTTAAAAAGCTCAGCTCTTCAGAGATAATTTAAAAAGTTATTGCTCCAAAATAAAAAAAACCTTGAGGGAAATTATATTTTCTCAAGTACATTTTCCCTTGTGTAACTACGTAGATCTTTTTTAACATATAATTTTTATTCAACTTCATTATCCTTTTATTTTCTGCTTTAAAATGGAAAGAAAATTTAATTCTGAAACTAAGAATGGCTATGCTGCCTTGGAGAAAGGTAAAGGCAGTAAATAACTTCCTTGTATATGAAAAAGATGCCTCACAGTTTCCTGAATTATTCAATATGTGCTTTATATTCTGTACCTTATGATTTTATTAGCTGAAGTTCATGTTTTGGACATGGTCTGCTGTGTATCCAAGGCTAGCATTGAACTCATGACCTCTTGCATTACTTTCCCAGGGCCTATCCTGTCTCCTGTACACCTCTTCCTGATGGGGATCTTCATCTGACTTCCTGAAGCAGCATGTGTATTTTCCTCCACCAACCAAACATCCCAGGATGTTATCAGACAGCACCTAAAACCTGCCTAATGTTTTCATCACTGCATTCATAAAATGCCTTCATCTATGATTTTCTATTGTTTTATGACTACAGAAGTTCATGCTATCTAGAGTAATCTGAGTGTGTTCCTAGGCCATGGCTACTCAAGTTTAGCTCAAAATAGACTCACTCTTATTCTTTTTGATAGGAGAGCTGTGATTTAGGTCGGCAGTTAAAGTGCTTAGTTCATAAGAAAATGTTGTTTCATTGATAAGATGTTTAAAGTTTTATTTCCTAGAGAATATTTAGACAGCTATTATGTGAACTGAATAGTCTACCTATCCATTGCTAATCACTATTTTTTCATTCATTTCAAACCTTTGGTGCACTAGTGGTGTTACACCTGCTGTACCTGACCTTTGTTCTTCCCTTATGTTGATAAGGCTGGACTTCATTTGAGGCCTATGCTCCCAGGAAGACAGACACACCTAAGTGTCTTATTCTAAAAAAACCCCTTTGTTCCTTTCTAGAAAGGGGCAAACCGCATACTCACGTATGCAAGATCCTTTCTGATATCTTCCGTAAGACCCATTCCTCATTTGTTTATCTGCCTGTGTGAAATCTCTTTCTAATTTTGAAAAAGAATTCCCTATTATGAACACCCTCACTACTGCAAAGTCTGATTTGTCTGGTGCTTTTGGTCTTTTACAGTGCTAGAGTCTCCTTAAAATACCTAATCAAACCTTAACTGAAAAAAATTAAGATTTTATTTTTATTTTTTAAATTATGTGTCTATGTAGATATCTGTGTGTAGTTATGTGATGTGTGTATAGGTGACCACAACAGCTAGAAGAGGGCATTGAATCTCCTGGAGCTTGAGTTACAGGTGGCTCTGAGCTGTCCAATGTGGGTGCTAGAATTAAATGTGGATCCTCTGTAAAAGAAATAAGAGCTCTTAACTGCTTAGTCATCCCTCCAGTCTCAAACAGAAAATTTAACGTTTACATCACTTTCACACTACTGCTCTTAAAGGCAGCAATGTTTTCTGTCTCTAAGTGGATACAATGATTATACAATGAAGGTTGAACAAATGGTTTCACCTGTGAACATAGATGCTGCTTTAAAGAGAGTGTTAAGATTTTTTCTTCAGGGTGCAAGAGCACTGGCTGGTCTTCAAGAGACCTGGGTTTGATTTCCAACACCCCTGTAGTGGCTCCAAACTGTCCATAACTCCAGTCCAAGGGGATCCCACACTCTCTCTGGCCTCTGTGGGCACCAAGCAGGAATGCAGTGCACAGATACATATGGAGACGTAACACCCATATATACAAACTTTTTCTCCAAACAATGAATGGAAAATTATACCTAGTCTCCCTGGGATTTATTTTAATTCTTTCATAGATTTCTCAGCATTATCCCTGCTCTGTAGGCATAGTAGTAAGAGTTCTAAACACACCTTACGCATATTCCCTGAAGCCATCCAAAACATAACTGTCAAAACAAACTGCTTACCACTTCTCCTTTTCTCTCTCTCTCAGATATGATCATTATTGATTCCTTTAGGGAGCATATCCATTTTCTTCTGCCTATTTTAGCTATTCTAAATCTTAAATGGCAAAACTTTTAGCATAAACAGTACATTTTGAAGTTAGGATGGGCAGACATATTATTGCCAATTTTATTACCATGAATATGTCAACTATAAAATTTTATTAAACAAACATTGCTCATTTTATAAGTAAATAAAATCATTAAAGTTCTTGGAACATACACACACACACACACACACATACACACACACACACACACATACACACACACTACACACACACACACACACAATTCAATCTCACATCATTTTTAACTTGGGCCAATTAAAAACTTTAAAGGAATGTTAAGGTAAAAATATGAACTATCAGGGTCAGGGAAGATGGCTCTGTCAGTAAGAGTACTTTCTATACAAACATGAGGACCTGTGTTTGATCCATAGTATCTACATAAAGGAGCCAGGTGTGGCAGTGTGGTATTGCAATCTTAGTGCTATGGAGGCAAGGACCGAAGGAACCATGCATGGTGTTTGTCAGCCAGCCAGGCTAGCCACATATGGGAGCTTCAGGTACTATGGGAGACTCTGCCTCAAAAAATAAGGTAGAGAACAACAGAGGAAGACAATTTATGCTGACCTCTGACCTCCACAAATATGTGCTCATGTGCATATGTACCTACAGAAACAAATATGAAATATCAGAAATGAGTATATATCATTAATCTACTAAAATAATGTTTCAGCTATGATTTAATAGCTCAAGTATTAAAGTAAGGCTACACCACTAACCCAAGAATACTCAACCAACATCTAAAATAAGACATCATTTTAGTACTGGTATTATGTTAAAGCTACTTCGTAGTTTTCAAAAGGAAAAATATTTATTCTCTCTACTTAAAGTTTACAATCTAATTTCAAGCTATGTTGCTCAACTGGTACAAAGAAAAGGGATTAAGTGAAAAAAACTCGAGGATCATTTTGATACACCCTTGTTCTATAGTTCAACAGTCTACAATAAGAAGGTATTGACATTTGAGATCTGTGGGGGATCTTTTGGTGGTACAATGTTAAGAGGAATGGCTAGAATTTAGTGGTTGGTGCCTGAGATACTAGGTATCTCATAATCATTGGCACAGTTTCAAAGTATTGAAAAAAAGTGCTCCACAAAAGGCGAATGGTATTGTGTGTGTGTGTGTGTGTGTGTGTGTGTGTGTGTGTGTGTGCGCGTGTTTTAATCTTATACTCTTTGGGGACCCACCACCCAGCTCCAAATAAATACACGGAGACTTATCATTACTTATAAATGCCCTGCCTTAGCTTAGCTTGTTTCTAGCCAGCTTTTTTTCACTTAAATTATCCCATCTATCTTTTGTCTCTGAGCTTTTACCTTTCTATACACCTTTCTTTACTTCTTACTCCATGACTTGCTGTGTAGCTGGGTGGCTGCCTCTGATGTCTCCTCTTCTTTTCCTTTTCTTGCTCCTCAATCCCCTCTTCCCAGATTTCTCCTCCTATTTATTCTCTACCTGCCAGCCCTGCCTATCCTTTCTCCTGCCTAGCTATTGGCCATTCAGCTCTTTATTAGACCAATCAGGTGTTTTAGACAAGCAAAGTAACACAGCTTTACAGAGTTAAACAAATGTAACATAAAAGAATGCAACACATCTTTGCATCATTAAATAAATATTCCACAGCATAAACAAATGGAACACAGCTTATTATTCCACAACAGTATTGTCAAAAAAACATTACATCATTTTATAATGGTCATAAGGGAGAGATCAGTGATTGAAAAGGGGAGGAAAAGGGCAATTGGAGATTAGTGTTCCCAAGGATACAGGAAAGACGTACTGGCAGCTTGACTTCTGGGAAACAATAAAGTTAAGGATCAATCTGCAGCCTACAAGGCTTCCTGTCATATTGAACCTAAGAAGCATGAATAATCTACAGCATTCAGCTCTTAGAGATAATCCTTGCAGGGTTTATGGCCTAAGAACATTAATGAATAATTAAAAGCTGACATTTTCATTGCTGTCTGTTTCAATGGTTATTTACACTTTGACTATATTATTTGTTAAAACACAGAATTATGGAGGATTTGGGGATGTATCAAATTTCCTCAGATACTATGATTTAAAAATTTTAAACGTTTTCCAGAAGGGATTTCAGTTTCTGAAAATAACTAGAAATACTTCAAAATCTGTAAGCTTACTTCAAGAGGACTGAAAATGAAGATGTCTTCGGTGCTATAGTATTGTAATAGAGGTCATAATGGAAACCAGGTTGGTAGAGAAAGTATTTCTCATCACAAACCCAAGCCCCTGGTGCCAACTTATCTTCTTTCACAGGCACCTAGAGTTAAATCTACACATTCCTATCTTCTGGATTTGATTTCATCTTTTGTCTAAATTGCAGTACTGTTAAAGAGTTGCAGAGAGACTGAAAGTTGCTCCCAGGTTTAGACAAAACTCTTTCTTTCTACCTATCTATCTATCTACTTACTTACCTACCTACTATACATACACACACACACACACACACACACACACACACACACACACACACACACACATATATATATGTCTTTCCATTTACATATTATATATTTTTTTAATGTGGGTCAGTGCTCAGACCCAGAGCCAGGTTTTATAGATAGGAGCTCTAACCATACTAACACAAACGACATTGTAACCAAGAGTTTATTTTGATTCAAAAAAGTATTAGATTGAATTTGGTCCAACTGTTTGTTCTCTTTCAAAAGTGTGACATGAATCAATACTTGAGTGTCTAGACTCTAGATGCATTACATAAATATTTTTTTTCTTTTTGACAGTGTCTACATACCAGCTATTCTGGGAGTCACTATGTATACTAAGCTACCCTCAAACTAACAGAGATCCTCTTGTCTCTACCTCTTGAGAGCTAGGATTAAAAGTGTGAGCCATCAGGCCCAACTAAATGATTTTTAAACTTATGTTCAAAGTATAACAATACTATACTTTTAAAAAAAATGTTCAGACTTTAAGCCCATGGTTATAGTTTTGATTTAGCATTTAAAAATACCTATTCTAATAAATATAACTGAAACTCTGCTGTGTAGCACATATATGAAGCGTAGAAACACAGTTAGAAGCATTACCTTGACTCTAACTGTTTTATACTTGACTGCAACTGCTGTACTCGTCTATCCGATGCTTCCTCTTTTCCCTGGGCAGACATAATATCTTCCTCCTAGAAAGTAAAGAACCCGAAACTTACTTGAAGCATCCGATAATGCAACAGACAAGCACGATTTTACAGCATGATGAACACAGTGGACTACAAAGTTATGCTACTAGAATTCTAATATGTAAGTTTAAAGATGATAGACTTTGTTAAATAAACACATATAGTACAAAGAGATTGGGGGCAAACTTTATCACTATCACATTATCAAAAGAGTTACTGCAAGTACATTTCTGGCAATGTTTCACAATGTTTCCACTGCACATACAGCAAAACAAGGCAAAGGTTCCTTTGTGGTCACTCTGCTGTTATAATACGCTCTTAACTATTTCTCATGATCTATCAAAGGAACACAGGGCATTCCTGACAGAGTGATGCTTTGAACTATCAACAGGTTTTATTTAAGTCATCTTTCTAGAAAAGCTTCTTGCCCATCCTTGCTTGCCTTCCTTTACAGTAAACACTTTTAGTGATATCATTTTAATTTATCCATTGTTCTTAACGGTATCTTTGAAAAAGTGTTTTTTCTCAGACAGACTTCTCCTATATTGTGTGGTTAGTCTAGAACTCACTGTGTAGACCAGGCAGGCCATCAGTTTGGGGCAGTCTTCCTGCTTCTGTTTCCCAAGTGTAAGATTACAGGTGTGCTCTACCATGCCTAACTTAATAGATTCTTTTAAAATTAATTGTTCCCAGCAGTAGTACTATTTTGGATTTACTATTTGTTGTGGTTTATTTCCTATATCTGAGTTGTTACCTACTACCATTTCCTTTGGCCTCACAAACATCTCAGGTGAAATAAAAGCACCAGGCATGGAGATACATGCCTGTAATCCCAGCCTTTGGAGTTTTCAGATGGGAGTATCAGGAGCTCAGACTCCAGTGAGACACTGTAAGCAGCCTGAGCACAGCCTGAGTTCTAAGAGACCCTACCCCAAGAAACCAAACCAAGCAAACAATAAATAAATTTCCTTCAGAATGTTTTGAAATTCAAGTCTTCTGAGTACAAATTCCATTTATTTACTTGGAATGTCTTACTTTCATTTTTTTTTCTTTCTCCCCCCCCCCCCCCCCCCCCCCCCCCCGAGACAAGGTTTCTCTATGTAACAGTCCTGGCTGTCCTGGAACTCACTCTGTAGACCAGGCTGGCCTCGAACTCATTCAGATTCACCTGCCTCTGCCTCCCAAGTGCTGGGATTAAAGGTGTGTGCCAACACCGCTTTCAGATTTGAAACGCAGCTTCACTGAATATAGAGCCTGTTGAATGTGTGTTCAAGGACATCACCAGCATGGAGACACACACCTTTAATCTTAATACCAACCATAGAAGACCTGGAGGTCTGTATAGACAGGCAGTGACGAGGAGGTCATGTGGTTGGGTTTACAACCAATGAGAAGGCAGAACAGAAAGTCAATAAAAAGACAAACACACAGGAAGTAGGTCTCTTTCTGAGGGGAAGGACGGCCATGGCAGCAAGGGGTAAGAAGGCGGTTTTAGTCTTAGCTCTTAGCTACTGCTCTGACCTCTTGGGCTTTTAACTCTCTATTTGGATCTGTGTTTCTTATTTAATAAGACTGTTACATCTACAATCTAGTGAACTTTTTTACAGTTCCTGTAAAAGCTCTAGAATTTTTATTGTGAAATTGTTTTCTTGCTCTCAATCAAAATTCTTTACCTTTTCCTTCACTTAGACTTTATTTTACTCTAATTTAAAAACAAATTTTAAAAAGGAATAACTCCTTGAGCAGTCTTCTTTTCTTGTGACAGTCTTACGCAGTAGTACAGGCTGGTCTTAAACCCATTCTGTAGCAAAGGATAGTCATACAGATAGTAACTATCAGAACTAGAATTTCTAATAATAACATCCATCTAAGTCTCAAGCCTGACATTTCCTTAATACCTTTCTAAAAGTCCCCCATTGTTTATAGAAAGAATAAGCCTATTATGACAATAAAAACTTGAATAAACAATATAACTATGGTATTAGATGTTATAGAACAAGTTAAGGAAAACTTGACTGTAAACTGCATTTTAACGATCTGTTTATACTGACTATGATGTTTTAATTCACTAAGTCGATGGAAACAGTCTTCACTAAGTGGTTGCCAACACTATACCTTCTTCAGCATCTGTTCTTGAAGACCTTCAGTCACTTTAGTTAGCTCTTCCACTTTCGTTACTGCAACTCTCAGATCTAACTTGGCTTGCCTGAAGAAAGCAAATTCATGTGTTATGTTAGAGACCATAAAGAATGGAAAGTTCATAATCTAAATTTAGTAAAATCATTACTACTATCTATGTAACTAAAAATAGATCCCAAAGGTAAATTCTGAATGATTTTCTTATTGCTAGTAAAATACATGTAAAAGCAAATAGGAAAATATAGCTAATTATAGAGGGTATAAAGAGGAATACTTTATTTGAACAAATAACATTTAATGTATAAGCAATCCAATGTTTTTAATGAAGAAAAATTTGACCATCTTTAAACAAGAATTTCAGTATAGTAAGAATTTAACTATGTTTATACTTTTTTCAATTTATCTAATTAGAAGAATACTGCTGATTGGCCTCTGTGAGAATGAAATTAAAGCTTGAATGTCTATCAGTCCCTGGAGCAGCGATTATAAACCTGGGTAAAATCTGAATACACATAGCAACTTGGTTTTCTTACCTTCAGAAAGATTGTAATGTTGCTTTTTCTATTTGTTTTATGGGTTGCTGAACAAGTGAAAGTAAGGTACATTAAAGTGTCCCGTAAACTCTAATCAAATGTGAGACTGAAAGTATCTGTTGGGAGAGTCTCAGCATGCGAGCACTGGCATCATGAGCCCAGTGTTGTTACTACTAGGACGAAACCTACCTGACCAACTGCCTCCAGAACAACAATTCTCTCAGTAATAGAGCTTTTCCTTATTTTGATCTGATTTTAAACAATCATTCAACTTTTAAACTGTATGTCAAGTTCGTAGTTCTCTCTGTTTTTATGGCCCAACCTTGAGCACCCTTATCACTTCCAAGGACTGATTCCCTCAACCCCTCTTGGCCTGAAAAATGAGCCTACCCCCAAGTGATGAGATTAAAGGTCTGGTACCAGACCCAGCTTCAGGCTTAAAATTCCACCTTAAAATTTATTTCTAGATTTCTCAGTCAAAATGGAAAGTTTTATTTTCATTATTTTTGAATGAAACTCTATACTACTGTATATGGAAAAAAAGGTCAGTATCAGTCAGTTCCAAAGTCTCATCTCCTGCCAGTTCCTCCCATGTTCTCTGTTGAAGGTTTAACAGAGAACATACAAATCATGTGTTTCCCGAACACACTCTTCATTTTTCCATTTTTATTGTACAAGTCTCTCCCTCTTTTCCTAATTTTTCAACATTTGTCAAACTACAAGTTTTTCCTTGTCAAGTCCTCACTGGTTTTGTCTACACAATATCCCAAGTTGCAGTCTGTAGCTGGAGTTTTCTCCAGTCCTGCCTGGCCCACAGTCAGGACAAATCTCTCTCACCCGCCAGTCCCCCAGCTGCTCAGACACAACCGAGTAAACACACAGAGACTTATATTGCTTACAAACTGTATGGCCACAGCAGGCTTCTTGTTATCTAGTTCTTATATCTTAAATTAACCCATTTCTATAAATCTATACCTTGCCACATGGCTCGTGGCTTACCAGTATCTTACATGTTCTCTCTGCCTCAGCCTTCCACTTCCCAGAATTCTTCTCTCTGCTTGTCCCGCCTATACTTCCTGCCTGGCTACTGGCCAATCAGCATTTTATTTATACAGAGCGAAATCCATAACAGCAGTCCTTATAATACTAATTCTTTGTACATTAATAGATCACATTGCATTACAATTACTACTACATAGATTCTTCCTTGTGGAATATGAATTCATAAAAGATGGAATACAACTCAAATGCAGTGACCACACTTTATTAATTTTTAACCCTTTTAGAGACAAGTAAGAGCACCATAAATCAGTTCAAAAGAGAAGATGAAAACATCAGCTATAAGCACTACTTTGTCTTCATGTTTTACTCATTCAATGTTTATGTATAGACAATCGTAGAGTAATGATTTGTGGAAGCCTCAAGAAAACACAAACACACACACAATTTCTTTAAAGCAGATCTCCTACTATAGAAGTACTGGATTTCTCCTATCAGGCTGGACTGGCTGGCCAGTGAGCCTCGGGATCCACCTGTCTCTATCTTCCCAGCATTGCGATCATGAGCGTGTAGCACCCCTGCCTATTTGTTTTATAAGTGTTTCAGGGATCGAACTCAGGTTGTTCTCATGCTTGCATGGGAAGATTTTACTAACTGACCAGTCTCCTCAGCCCCCTAAACTAAGATCAAAGAAGCAGAGTATCTGCTATTAGCTAGGTAAGGTGGTACATGCATATAATCGCAGCATACAGGAGGCTGAGACTGGAAGATAACAAATTTGATGCTAGCTACCCTGGACTACTTAATGAGTTCTAGGTCAACTTGGGGCTACAGAGCAAGACCTGGCAAAACAAAACAATAAAAAACCCAAATAAACCACTGACCTAGTCAATTTTGAGGTCAACAAAGCAGATAAACGCTAAATATGTATTTGGGAAACATTATTATTGATTGATATTAATGAACTTAGGTAGGGTAGACTTAAGGAAAGGAGGGGACTGAATAAAAGGGATAGAAACTTAAGATATCTATTTTCAGTGGGTTGGATGAGGAAATCAGGAAGACAAAGGAGACCAATAAGTGGCTGCAAAGATCAGAGAAGAAAATCAGAAACATATACAAAATAGAAGAGGAAATTCCACAGTAAGTAAAACAAACAGATTCTTCAAGGCAATTTCAGAGGATAGAAGAGGAAAAATATAACCTGAGTAACTGTCAGTAAGTTCTGACATAGGAGGATTCAAAAGAAGCCTGCAAAAGGGAACTAAACCTTAAGCATACAAGGCATAGTTATAGAAATGATATGAGAAGATACTTTCCTATATAGACAGACTGGATGCTAAAGGAGAATGATGTGCTCTAAGATAGTGTTAGAGCCCACTGTACACTGGAGAGGAGGGCATTTGAGCTCTCCTAGAGATGAGGAAGCTGAACTTCATGCACATAGCAAGCTGTCAAATCCCTCCATCAGTAAACAGCTGCTAGTCTGAATGTACCTGTCCTCTCACAACTCACATGCTAAAATCCTGGGAAAGTACAACCCTCAGAGAGTCTCATGTGATGGTATTAGGAGGTGGGATGTTTGGGGAGGTGATGATATTATGATTGTGGAGCCCTCAAAAAATGGGATCAGCAACCAAGTAAGAGGCATGAGGGAAGCTGCTTGTCACTTTCACCATGTCAAGATACACCAAGAAGGTGCAATTTGTAAACCAGAGCCCTCACTGGACATGGAACCTGTTGGTGTCTTGATCTTGGCCTTGTCATCCTCTTGATCTAAAAAGAAATAACTTTATGGTGTTTCCAATCTATCACTCTCCAGTATTTTGTTAAATAGCCGAATGGACTAAGGCAATGCAGGAACAGATTATAAAGTAGGGCTGAGCACATGGTCTACGATTCTCACACAGCATACCACACCAAAGCACAATCTAAAGAGGTGCAAAAGTGCAGAATATTTGCCAAAGACTCTTACAAATATCAGTAAAACATTCTTATAGTCATCTATTAGTAGCTGCACAACTTCTGGACAATGTTATATAGTTTTGTTGGACCTCTGTCCAACTCCTGAAACAAGAAATCTTAATATTAAATAGTTGTTGCCAAGCTATACTCATGACCCATGTGCTCTACAAGTAAAACAGAATATTCTTTGTTCCTCAAAGAGTAAGAGAAACAAAATTTTAAAAATAATGTATAATAAAATCATCCCTTAGATAACATTAAAGCTAAACATTGTGAAGAGACAGAAAAATGACAGGAAAGCCCTATCCTCATCTTGGAACCTGTTTTCGTTTTCTATGCTCAGAAAGATAGCTGCCAACACATAAGGAACTGTCTGGCAATTCTATGACTAAGCACATCTGCTCAAGGCCATTTCTCACATGGGAGAGATTCCAAGAGACACCATGAATCAAAACTAGTGGTACATGAATTCCAGATTTCCACAGCATTTTATAATAGAAGACACAATATTATTCAAATTGAAACATGAAACATCTGAGAAAAATCTGTTATCTCAGTTAAAATAAAACCATTACCTGGCAAAAGTACATTTTAAAAATAAGCAGAATATAAAAGTTACTGGCAACATACTTTTGGAGAAAAAAGTATGCATTTATAAAAATGTCTTGAAATGAACACAATGAATATACATAAACTTCAATTTACATAATTTATCTATTACATTCACTATGATAACATAAAATCAAGAACTGCATTTGTATAATATCAGTTCTTATGTTCTTCAATAAAACCATTTACTTAAATAATTTCATGATCAGCTTTAAAATGTCTGGGATTTTATTTAAATATTGACAGCACTAAACATTCTATCTTTATCACTCATTGAAGTTTCGAGATTATTGATAATAAAACAGACAGAAAGGGCAATATAGCTTAAAGGCTGGATCTGTAATACTGTAATAGAAAACACAGACTGTCTTCTGATATGAACGGTACAATGCTTCTGTTTACTATATCAAAATGTTTGATCAGGTGTGCTCATTTGGAAATCACAGTACTAAGTCGTCACACCATTCCTGAGTAGCTAAATAAAGAATATAATACAAAAATTTTCTGAATAATGAAAGCCTAAGAAAGCAGTTGCACCTCTGAAAGTTTGAAGATCAAGGGACATGAACAGAAAACCCATATAATTTATTTTATCCTTTTAATAAAGGACAAATAAGTTATTTAATTTGCTAAGTTAATAACTCAATATTTTCTTATCATCTTTCATAGATCCAACAGGTTAGTGAGATGAAAATGTACAAAGTTACATATAATAAAGTGTTAATAATACTGTAACAGACCAGCATTTGGTCTTCAACTGTACTATAGAAGAAGCATGTTGGGCTTTGAAGGGATAGAAAGAAAAAGATTTAGAAAAGGTTATCTTGCCGGGCAGCGGCGGTGCACGCCTTTAATCTCAGCACTCAGAAGGCAGAGAGCCATGCAGATCTCTGTGAGTTCGAGGCCAGTCTGGTCTACAGAGCGAGATCCAGGACAGGCACCAAAACTAGAGAAACTCTGT